TGGGGTGGGGTGGGGGGTCGGGGTGGGGGTGGGGGTGGGGGGGCCATGGATTTCTCGTGGGTTTACGTGGATTTACACAGATTTTCGGCTGCTCTACGGTTGGATTGCTAACCAGACGTTTTAAAGCGCTTCAGGACAACTTCACGAGGTTAGACATCTCCGACGATAAAGATGGCTTTACGAACAGACCAAAGGAGTTCAACATGTCTAAAGGTGTAGTAAGGTATCTCGAAAAGATAGAGGTTCCAACCGGTCTAATAGAGGCCATTTACTACGCTAATTGCCGAGCTTCCTGTTGGTAAGTTCTGTGTTGTTGTGTATCAACAAAACTGGAACCTTGGCAATTCCTAAAGTACTTTACAGAAAGAGTTTGGGCGTGCCCAACGAAAAATTGGACACTTCACCTCTAGGCTTTGGTATTTTTCCCAAACACCCACCCTTTGTTTGGGAACTCCTTTCCCTTTTGGGAGGGAGTTTTTGTTGAAATTTGCGAGCAAAAACAAAGAGTGCCCCTACCTTTTCATGGCCACTGAGTCTGGGAGTCTGGGCACGCCTGTGGCAACCAAATCGATTGTTGTCTTGATCCACCCTTTGGTGCAAAATGCTTTTCAACCATTTAAGGGAAAGGCAAAAAAAGGATGGAAAGGAAGTGGACATGGCGTTCCGAAGAAGAAACACAAAACGTGAGGCACCATCTCCCTGCGGGACGCGCTGAGATTGCTGGGGTTTCATTTACACCATCTAAGCAGAGGGTCCTTCCCCAATTTTAGGACGCCCTCCCATGTGAGTCATGTGCCTTGAATTTGCTACAAGCAACTGCTTGCAGTCTCCAACCGCTGGTTACGCGAGCCGCTCCGAAATTTACTGTTTCCGCAGCTAAGAGGCAACCGACCCTTTTTCGGACCACGTGCGGGGTACCGTCAAAACATCCAGATATCTCTCTTGCATATTTGAACAAAGCAGGAAAACCCCCCCAAAAAGAAATAATACTCCTAAACCCCTGAAACAACCTAAAAGGGTACCATCTCAACTCAAAATATGTCTCTCTCCTCGAGGCTACCATGGCAGCTCCCAGAACCGTTTTTTTTGGTTTACACAGGCCTTCTGGAAGCTGGCGGCTGTTCATCTGCATGTTTATCTGGAGTGCCTCTCCCCTTGACATACCTTGCTTCTAGGCTGGAATTAGGACCCCAGCAAATATATATATATATATATATGTATATATGTATATATATATGTATATATATATATATATGTATATATATATATGTATCTCTTTTTTGCCTGGTTAGTGGAAAAGAAAGGGGACCCCAAAAAAGCAAAAAAGGACAACGGGGAACTCATTCTGGGCAAGGCTTCAGAGCTCCGTGGATTGCCCCAAATCAAAGGTTGATCGATTTGCTGGTGGGTTCTATTGAAAGCGCCAAGTGGCCGGCAGCCCAGTGTTTTGCTCCTTACGGGCGCACGGACCCCTTCCCTCCGCAAAGCGCCCTTGAAGCCCTTTGCGGGAGAGCCTCAAAGCTGGCGTGTTGCCGGAGCTCGGAGGGGAAGTTCAGGATAAGCACTCCGTTGGGCCTCGAAAAATTGGTTTCTGGCCAAAAGGAAGCTGAGAGATGGGGGGGGCGGGGTTCTCAAACTAAAGGTGTCCTTGCAAAAATGGGATTAATTTTCCCTTTTGGTTTCACCCAAATAGGGAAGCCCTGTTTTACTGAATTTAAAGGGATTTTCTTCAAAGCATTACTGAAAGGCACCCCTACCCAGAACTCTTTGACCAGAACCCCTTTCGATCAGAAACCTCTAAAAACGCTTCTCGGGGAGGGGGAGGAGGGGAAGTTTGGATTTTCCACTCGCCATAACTCGGCTCCAAGGGTCCCACGCTCTCGAACCCTTTTTGGAGGCAGGGTCGTTGAGTCCTCCGATGTGCCAGCAGGGCCACCAGAAAAGCCTAAGCCATCGCTGGACCAATCGATCCCTCACGATTCTTTAACAATCGGAAAGCTTGTGGCCCCGGATCGGTGAGCTCCGTAAAGTTTGCGCTCATTGGGGTTGGTGCCGCTCTGCACGGTCCCGCTTAGTTCGACGGGGGGGAGTCATGAATTCCCGCCTTGGTACAGCACCCAATGAATGTCCCAAACGTCGATGCTGGGGTTGACGACAGTTGCAGTAGTTGGGTCCGTAGATGTACCCGTCTCACAAGTTGGGGTTTACATGACGCATGTGCAACGACGCAAGGGGCACCCTCAACATGGGTGCTTTCCATTTGGTTGTCCTTTCAAGACAACCCGAAAAAGGGCCGCCCGAATTGACTCTGCAAGCCTGGATCTAGAACAACGCCGACATGGAGCCACAAATCGGGACCTGGTAACATGGCATTCCCAAAATGACTGCACATCACCGATGAGATTTGGGGATTTCGGGTGACCGGGAAGTTCTGTTCTCGGTTGCACACACCCGCCGCTTAAAAATGTCCCTCCCTCACATTCCGGGCCACCCTGCAAAAAGTTAACTTGCTCCTTGTTGAAAGGGACAGTTTTGGAAGCCCAAGGCAAAGAGTCATTCAGACAAGCTAACAGGGGTCACTGGATGTCCCCATTTTCGGAAGCGGACCTGGCGAATTTCAGCAAACAAAGTGGGAAACCAAGGGGAATCCACTGAACTGGGTTTCTCTTGATTGCATCATGAGCCAAGCAACATGCAACATGACTGAACCAATGTCTTTCGCGGGGTTTTAGTTCACCCCAGGAGCAACTGCGAGGAGTCGCCCACCAGTCGTCGCGCCTCACTGGCTCTGGCACCTCTTCCTTCTTGTCCTTTTTCTTCCTCGGCGACTCAGAGCCGTGTCCGTGTCCCGGTTGTTTTGGGACCCAAAAAGGGTGTACCGACTCCCTTGTAAATACCAAAGTGGTGTCCCATAGTTTCAAAGTGGTGCGAACGGATTTCGCAACCATCCACAGTAGCACCATCGAACATCACGCAACCGAAGGACCTGGCGAAAGGTGGGCTGTTGACTGAGATTGGATCAAACATTGTATCATGGATACCCAGATCAAAAGGTCGGGCGTCTTTTCCTTGAAAACCAGGGGTTCTTGATTCGCATGGCGCCCCAGTTGTACTTTGCCATAGGAGGGTTTGAGTGCAGTAAACCCTCCTTACCCTCTGCCAACATGGAAGTGGAGAAAACGTTTTTGGAAGATTACCAGGCCCCCTGTTCACTGCAATGATTCTTGGAGACAGGGCAGAGTGTATATGATCCCCTTTATAAACCATCCGGCGGCCAAGCAAAACCATTCCTGAAGCTCACTGGTGGTGCCAGAGGTGGAACGGCTTGTGTGGAGAAGCCCCCCCCCTAATGGACAAAATATCTTTGATACCATTTGAAAAAACTCACAACAACAAAAATGTCCTCAGAAACAAAGATCGCCCATATATCAAATGACCAGGCATGCACCAGGCATGCGCGAGAAATACAACCGGCATACTCAGGGAGCATCATATATATATATATATCAAAATGCCGAAGGCGGCGCGACGGCACTGAGGCGGCTATTTTCACCTTTCTGCTAAAAGGACGCCCTGGTTTGATCCAGGGTTATTCACTCATGCATGCGGCTGGTGCATACCTCTGTACATTTTCACCCGTCCTCAGCCGCTGCATGTTCTGCTTTCTCTTGGCGTGCTTGTTCTGCTCGGCGGTGTCGGCCCTCTCGAATGCTCGCCTTCTTTGCGGTGGCAAGCAGCGAAGGCGTCATGCCCCAGATGCCTTGATCCAAAACCGAGAGCATCAGCTCTCTTTCACATCCAACCTTGGTGAGGACGTCCGCCAGCATCTGAGAGGTGTCCAGCCACTTGACCATGGCGTTGTCACCCTCAAATCCATCGAAGCCCAGCAGCTGCTTGATCTGGGCAACCAAAACCTTGACGCGTTTCTCTGTGGGCTGGCCGGCGTCCTTGACGATGGTGCTCTCTAGGCTCTTGGCATCGGTGAGCACGAGGAGCATCCGCTTGACGTACTCACTCTCCAGGTTGATGAGCTTCTCATCTGGGTGCAGCATCTCCATGAGCAAGGACCTGACGTAGTCGGCTGCCTCAGCTCCCATGAGGAAGGCATTCGACTCCGCCGCAAGTGTGCTTCTGCACACTCTCTCAATTGCACTTGCTTGTGCTCCAAGGAGGAGCACGGGAACCTCCTTGTCCGTGGCTAGGTCCTTGTGGGCGAGGCCGACGACATAGCCACATTGTGACTTGACCTTCTCTCCGGCTTTGGTCTCTGCGTTGGCATGGCTGCTGTCCGCACAGACGAAGACGATCGTATCGGAGAGGGTCAGCTGGTCGTTGGGGCAGAAGCACATCTTGGCGTCCGCGGTGTCCTTGAGCATCTTCAAGGCTTTATTCAATTCTATCACATCTCGCACGCGTGGCCTGCTCATTGATTGGCTGGCCATGCTGACATTCACCATGAGGTCTGGGCGCGTTTGGCGAGTCACCCAACCCATGGAACCGATCAAGGCACGGAACTGGCTGATCCCCTCCTTAGACAACGGGGAGTTGGGCACGATGCGGCGGTGCTTGTCCAACACCTGGTACTCGATGGTGCCAATGGCCTCCTTCTGGATGAGTTCGATCTTGTAATCGGGGTGCTGGACGAGGTCCTTTCCACAGAACCTGAAGTTGCCGCGCTTGATGGTGAGGTGCAGCTCTTTCTCCAGAACCTTGAGGGATTCATCATAGGCCTTTCCCTCGCCGGCCGCGAACAGGTCGTCCACGTGGGTGATCATGATGCCCTGGAGGGAGTTCTCAACGTAGAGAAAAAGGAGAGCTGACTCAATGCGAGATCGGCGCCATCCTTGAGCGCTTAGCGAACGTATCAACTTCTTCCACCAAGCTCGCCCTGCATCCTTCGTGCCGTAGATGGAGCCGCGGGCGCGCATGAGGTCGTGGGGACTGACACCTGGCGGTGGAGGTCGAGGAGGTCTCAAAATGAGTACCCGATCAATCCCCTGCGACTGCAAGTAGGCCGTTGATGCATCTGCGGCCAACACGAACCACTTCTGAATCACTGCCACGGCGCAGACCAAGTTGAAGGCGAGGAGTGATGCCGTGGGGCTGTCACTGCGGATGCCGATGTCATCCTTGCACGACCAATCTGCTCTTGGCCTTGATGGGGAACTCCTTCTTGATCTGCGACCTTGATTTGCCGGTCTTCCGCGCAGCACGCAGGGCCAGAAGTCTGGCCTTTCTGTTCTTGTCCGTATGGACCCATCTGGTCCCGACGATCTTGATGTCGGGGTCCAGGTTGTCCTTCTGCTTCTCCGTGAGGATGTCCACAGCCTCAAACTTTGTCCATGACTGCCACTCATCGCCCATGCTCACATCGTAGAGGGCGCGGTCCTCCGGGTCTAAGTCCTTGAGGTTCGTCTCGGAGCGAACGGCCTTGCCGGTGAGCATGGTTTCCTCCACCATGAAGTTGGTGGGAATGTTCTGGTCTTGGTCCTCCTCCTCCGCAGTTGAGCTGCCGTCGGAACCTGAATCGCCAGCGAGCATGCGAAGCCTTCTCCTCCGGATTCGTGATGTTAAAGTGCCGCACGCATCAGGGTAATGCCCGTCCTCATCCTCGACGACGTAAGGACCAGGAACTGGAGGGCGATGACGCTGAGTGCGGACTGCTCCAGGAACACCATCCAAAAGGTCGGGGTCCCGGATTGCGTGTAGTAGTTCTCCCGGAGGCGTCGGTGGTACTGACATGGTCGGGGCAGGTTCAGGCTCATATTGCGCCATTGGATGCTGACCATCAACGTCTGGTGGTAGTGCTTGAGGGACTGGTGGTTGTTGGTTCGCAGGTGGACCAATGGCAGGTAGATCCGTTGCTGGTAGTGCGGGAGGAGACTGAGACGTGGAAGTAGCTAGTGGTGGTGGTACGGAAGGTGCGAGTGGTTGTAGTACGGAAGGTGCTGCGGCTGAGGCCGGTTGGCTGGTAGTGCTAAGAGGTTGACTTGAAGAGCTTGGCTGTAGGTCCGGCCAAAAGGTAGTTTCACCGGTTCACTTGACGCGTAGAGATCGGTTGGCTTGACGGCCTCGCCAGTCGTCATGGATCTCGCCTTGGTCACCATCTCCATCCAGGGGAACCACGTAGTTCACGTTGGTCAGGCGGTAGTCCCGGAGGCCGGTAACGCGGATCGGGCATCCCGTACCTTCAGGTGTGAACAAGGCTAGGCGTGGTCGAAGATGAACTCGAGTGACCGTGCCGTCCGAGTTGGTCTGCCAATGATCATAACCAGGAGGTTGTCCGGCTGACGGTGGTTGTGGTTCTTGAGGTAGACGTGGCCGGACGTCGACATAGTTTCTGGCACCGCGGATGCTCTCCTCGGTCTGGATCTCCTGGGCTGCCAGTAGCTCGTCCTCATTCGCGAAGCGCATCTGCTCTCCCGAGGTGAGGACGACCGAGGAACCATAGCGAAGCCAGAAGCTATGTGGTGCTGCTCCGTCCGTCATCTCTTCAGGATCTTCAAGTCGATGCGGATTCCGGGGCTCTATCCCAATCACACGGGCAGGCCCATGCCACATGCCACCGCTGACTGCGGTCGCCGGTTTGTCCTGGGCGAACTTGTTGGCGGTGGAAGTACACGTAGGCTCCGACAGGGAAGGGTCCTCTGCTGGGCGTAGATTGATGTAGTAGGGCCCGTCGGATACGTGCATCTGTGTCCAGGCGTATTTGAGCGACCCGCGCAGCTTCCGGGATGTTGAGGTTCTTAGCCATCGCGCTCTGCGGGTTGTCGGCGGCCTTGAGCACCTCCAAGCGCTGAGATTCATAGTCGCTGAGGAGGCTGCCATCTCATGGCCACCGAGAACCCACTGGTTCGGGCTGTAGCCGTTCTCCCGGGGAAAGTCGTTGCGGACCTGAGTGACGATGCTCGTGGCGGTCTGAATGTCCTGCAACCCGGTGATTTGCATCTCCGAGACGGTCTTCGCGAAGATGTTCTTCCACAGACCACCGGCCTTCTCGACCTTCCCATTCTTCCAGGGAGACTCCAGTGGCATGGCCTCCACCTCAACTCCATACTGCTTGAGGTAGTTGCTGAAGTCGGCAAGGAATTCTTTGCCTCGATCACATTGTAGGCTTCTCGGAAGTCCCGCCCATGAGCTCCACGTAGACAGGAAATGTCGCAGAATGGCCTGTGAGGCGGGCGGACCTCTCGATTGGCCAAGACAGGAGACAACCTGGAAGTTGGTCCCGTCATCGATCATGTTGAGGAACCCGTACTGGTTGTTCATGATGTCATAGGCGTGGAACACGTCTACCAGGATGTGGTGGTTGAACTTGTAGGCGGAAGGGAGTCTGACCGGTTTGGGCCTCTTCTTGCGGACGCTATCACCACAAGCGTCAGAGGGCATGTAGTCCACGGCCTTGATGGCTTCTGGTCGAATTTTCTGTCTTCGGAGGATCCGCTGCAGTGTGACGTTGATGGGATGCCGAAGTTGACGTGGAGGTCTCTGAGAGTTTTGCGGAGGTCCGGGTCGATCTGGAGCCAGCACTTGCGTCTTTCCGACTCTGTCATGCTTAGGACCGGCCGTAGCTCATCCGCTTGACCTGCACGATATCCCTGATCGTCACCTCCGGGGGGAAGTTGATCCTCATGAAGATGCCCAGGAAGAGGTTCTAGTAGCTCGGGGGCTTGTGGTTCATGAGGTCGAATGTAAACAGGTGGGGCATTGTCCAAGTTTCGAAGGATAGCTACTCTTCCACCCCTCCTTCGCTTCGGAACTCCACCTTGTTCGGGGTGAGGCCTGGCGCGGGCTCCATGAAAACCCTCTTCTGCCTCAGCGAATGCGGCAGATTCCATAGCGGCCTGCTGGAAGATGGTGTCCAGGACCGCTTGGTTGAGCTTGGATGGCCAGACTGATGCCTGCGCGGTACGGGAACCAAGCTTGTTGTTGCCCTCCAGATGTTCATGATGGTGATCACCAGGACATACGGCATGTGCGAAGATGCTCTGCGCGGTGATCATGTCCGTGAGGTAATACGAGGGCTTCTTATGCGGGTAGCCGGAGACGGCGTCCTTGTAACCCATCATGCATCCATCTACCTTGATGTAGATGAGTTGGCCGCTATCGACATAGTCCTTGACGGGCTTCATCTCGGGCTCGTCCAACGACTGGGACCCGAGGGGCTGCTCGATGAAGACGTGGCGCTTGGCTTGAAGTCTCCATACCACAGCCTTGGCCACCAGCTTCAGGACCTTGCGGCCTTCTTCTCTGAGGGCTGTCACAGTTTCGGCGTTGCCGCCTTTGGCTAAATTGAAGCGGCCCCACGCGCCCAACGGACCACATGGCTGTGTGATGACCAGAACGTAGGGGTCCTCCACCTTGAGATCCTGCGCCAATTGTTAACTGCTTAGCTCCCATGGATGTTCCGGCATCCCAGGTGCTTGATGACGAATCCAGTGGCGCACCAACCATCATGCCGAGGGTAACGGCGAGCAAGGTGAGGCCCATCTGGCCGGCGCAGATCTGCTTCAGCCATGTCTTGCCGTACGGAGGCTTGCGTGGCTTACGGGTGAGACGGTCGTTCTGGAGCGTCTGCTGCCGGGACCAGTCATCACCATCCAAGGCTAACTCTTGGGCCGCAATCTTTTTGTTCTTCTTGTTGGTGAGCTTCCGCGTGACGCCGGGCTCATCTTGAGTGAAAACCTCGAAGTCATGTGGGTCGTCGTAGACCTTGCCGTAGGCGATGTCCTCAACCGTCGTGGTGTACGGAAGGTCAGCGAAGTGGTCGTCCTTTGGGCTTGTAGGTGGCTCCGTTGGCGAGGAAACCAAAGCCTCCTCGATGTGGAACATGTCGAGGTTATCCATGTCGAAGTCCAGGAGGTTGATAGCAAGGTGACCACGAGAGGTGCGGATCATGGGAATGTCCTCGAGGCCCAGCTGTGTGAAGCTCACGGTCTCGTGCTCCATGTCCATGATCGTGCCGAGCTTCTTCATGAAGGGTCTGGACAGAAGTAGTGGCGACATGTCTGGGGTCTCGGCTGTGTGGAGCTGACCATGCCTTCCACCGATCCCGATGGGATAGATCTTGATCTCGGTGCTCTTGATGTGGCCCCCGATGCCCTTGAAGGACTGATCCTTGGCCTTGGTGTCGAAGGTCAGGCCGAGGTCGGTCAGCGCTTTCTCGAACTCCTCAGCCCATCCACGGCCGTGCATAGTCCTGGAGCAGCCGCTATCCAGGATAGCCAGGCCAGGGGGGTCTGCCATAGTGACCATGACCTCTGGGTCGGAGTCTGAGCTATTGGCCATCATCGCCTCGCACTCGTGTACTTGCGGTTGATGATCATCAGGATTCATCTGGATGGGGACCTTGATGAGGCGGTCGACATCCATGGCCGGGTGGACCTGCTGGCGCTTAAGCATAGGGCCACCAAGGCGTTTCATGCCTGAGTTGTAGACCAAGATGATCCTGCCGTACAGGTAGAAGGCGAAGCGGAACGTGTCGGGCGTCATGGGCTTGTTGTCCAGCGCTCTCTTGATGACGTAGGCACAGTACTGGTTGCAGTCGGGGGACTCAGCCACCTGGAGGTAGGCATAGCCATGGTAGGGACCGCCGACAATGTGGGTAGCGTCTCCCGGAAGAGGTTGAAGTACATCCATGTCTTCGGGCGACAGGAGCGGGAAGTCCGGAGGCAGGCTACCAGGAACCAGGTGAACCCCGTAGAGCCAGCACTGTTGGCCCGTGGGTCGCATGATGCGGGCCATCCTTGGCGCGGGGGGAGGCTTTGCTGAGGAAGGTTCGCTTCCTGTGTCGATGTACTCCCACTCCGGTGATCCGGGGCGACCGGATGGTGAGCACTTTGTAGTTGGAGTGCTTGGTGCTGCTGGATAAGGGCTATGCTTCTGCTTCTCCGGGGACTTGTCCTCCAAGGCGAGGAGCTTGACGTTGGTCATGCGGTTGAACTGCTCTCTGGACCTGGCGTTGGTACCCCACTTGGTGCCCATGGCGATAGTGACGAGGTACCTCCAGAGCTGTGCAGGTTCACGGCGATTGACGTTCAACACGTTGCGGTTGCATTCGGACTCCTTGCAGGTGATGTACCGCGCGTGACCATTCGCCCCACGGTGGAACTTCTTCTCAAGCCCGCCGGCACAGATGCTGTGCTCGCAGAGGCCACCGTAGTCCTTGAGGACCATGTAGACATCGTCTCCCTCAAAACTGCTCATCCATCTCGTGCAGCACGAAGATCTGAGGTGGCTTCCTGCCTGGCGGCTTGACGGCAGCTCTCTTGGCGCTGCCTTTGCCCTTCTTGGCGTTAGGGCACTCCTGATCACCCTGCCAGTGACCCTTCTGGCCGCATGAGGTGCATGGGGTGATCGTCTTGAAAAACTTCACGGCAGACCGCCGTTGTTCCTTTGCCTTCTGATCGAAGGTCATCTCACCAGATGCCCTGAAGGGAATCCCGGATGGTCCCGTAGGCGATGAAGTCGACTTGCCGCTGCCTTTACTGCGGCCTTTGCTTTTGCCTTTTCCCTTCTTCCGCATCTGGGCAATGGTGGCGAGGACCTCGGCGGCATCTGCGTCCTCGAAGTCGTTGTCGGGGAACATCTCCGCCATCAAGGTGTCCAGGCCTTCGTCCTCGGAGTAGGAGTAGTCCTGATCCGTGACCTCGAAGGTGTCCTGGGGGTCCTCGTAGTACGCCTCATCGCCCTCGTCGATGTTCTCGAAGTCTTCATCCGGCTCCTCAGTGACGGAGAGCACCTGCTTGCCTCGGGTCGGCTTCCACCGAAAGCGTGGTGCCTGGTGACCATGAGCTGCAGGGGCTTGCCGACCAGCACCAAGATAGTCACGCCTATGGACTGGCTTGCCGGCAATGCTGGGGAACTGGATGCGCATCGCGTGGGCGATCTTCTTGCAGTCGTACTCATTGTTCACGGAGCTCAAAACGGACAGCTGCTCTCGGTGATCCAGACCTCCGAAGATGAGGAGCATCATGGATCTGAGGTTGTCGGAAACCTGGGTGCCTGGGGCGTGGTCCTCCAGCCGCTTGAAGTCCTGCTCGCGCCTGATGATGTACTGCTGCATGCTTTCGTGAGGTCGCCTCCAAACATGCGGGCTGTAGAAGGCCATCAGGAACAACTCGTTGGCCTTCACCGGAACTTCGGCTGCGATGGCTTCCTTGAGCGTGGTGAGGAACAGCTCCATGCCCTCCTCCAGGGGTTTTCCATCTTTGTCCTTGGTCTTGAGCCTCGCGCGCTCCAGCTTCCTCACGGCCTCATAGGCATGGCCGGAGAGACCACCTCGGAGATGGACCGTGCTCATCTGGAGCGAATCTTGGCCATCTCGACCGTGCCAGAGATCCCATGCGCGCTCCACGTACTCCTCGAAGAGCTCAGCCTCGCCGGAGTAGAGCGGGACGCCATGCTTGTCGAACTCAATGCGGTCGTGAGAGGGCCATGTCGAGCTAGGTGATCGCGTGGTGTGTGTGGCGTGTAGGCTGCTGGCCTAGGCGGGCTGCCTGCTGGGGATTGGCGCCATCGCCGCTCCCTGGGTCCTCGATGAAGAGGTTGCTGTAGAGGCGCAACAGCACTGCGGCTCGAAGAGCTGCACCAGCGGGCCGCCAGGATGTCACCTGGCTCCGCTTACCATCAAAATGCCGAAGGCGGCGCGACGGCACTGAGGCGGCTATTTTCACCTTTCTGCTAAAAGGGCGCCCTGGTTTGATCCAGGGTTGCGGTCATGTAGAGCTATTCACTCATGCATGCGGCTGGTGCATACCTCTGTACATTTTCAATATATATATATATATATATATATGTATCGGTCTTTCTTCCACCGACATTCTCACGAGTCCACCTTACCCACAATTCACTAGACCGGCACTGGGTAGACTCGCGGGCACCTCCATCTACAGAATCTGCAAGCCATCCCCGGATGTATCGAGTTCGTGAAAATGCGAAAGGAACCCTTTGCTGACAATTCGTTTGGGGAATCTGCCCGTTGCTTTCAACCAACAGAGTACCTCCTTGCAAACTATGCTTGGGAGTTGAGCGATTCGTGATAGCCCAGCCAATGAAACAGCATATGCAGCATATGCATCAAAAGTAGTAGCTACCAAAATGGCTCAACAGTGGCGGTCTCTTTTCGACACCTGCCAAAAGGAGCACCAATTAGCTAGGCAACTACACATGTAAGCCAAGGTCAAAAAGCAATATGTGCGTCCCATCAAGACAATGGGAAACTTAGTGAGTCGGTGGTTGACTTATCACGAAAGTAGATAGTAAGGAAAGGTACAAAGTACAAAATACTAAAAACACTATCAAGAAAATAAAACAACATAAAATTATTCAGAATAGATAGAAGTGAGAAACTAAGTGAGTCCCCCAAGTCCCTCCCCAATTCACCATATGGTGTCTTTTTTAAGGGGCCCCAAGAAGGTGGCTCTCTCTTGGTTTCTCTGAAAAACCAGCCAAACAAGGGTGCCAACTCAATCAAAAGGAAAGACTCATAGACTACCAGAAAACCAAAAGGGAGCTCGACCTGCAGAACTCTGAGCTCGGCATCGCGGGACGTCCCACTTTTTAAAAAAGGGGCACCGGTGGACACGGTTTTTAGGTTCCTTTTCGGGAGGAAACCACCCCCCAAAACCCCCCTGCACACCAAGAAAGGTAGCTGAACCTACGATTTCCATGTCGCTTTTAACCTTGCAAAGGCGACCGTCCAACAAAAAATAAATGGGCGGCTCCCTTCTCAAAGAGTTGTCAGATTCTGGAGCAGCACCAGCGGCCGGGGGGGGGGGGGAGAGGCCTTTTGCAAGATGACCATAACCAGCGGGCCCACAGGGGAGGAGGGGGTGGGGCCCCGGCGGGGGGGGGGCCAGACCTCTACCATATATATATATATATATAATGGTACATTCCCTTTGGCTTGGTGGAAAGGTCATGCTTTACATGGGCAAAGTGGCTCACCTTTTGCGGATCCCTGCAAAAATCTGTGCCGATTCCGAGGCGAAGGCTTCTTGGGATCTTCTTCCTCCACCTGGTGCCGTGGGACAGGCGAAGAAGCAGAAGAGCCATGGCATTTGTTGTGAGGGGTCGAATGGGTTGGCTGAGACAAGACCAACCCAAAAGAATAATCTCGGTTGCTTTCTGCTCCCCTGCTAAAAGTTCAACTTTTAGTGGTTTAATGGAAAACCCATTAGTTGGCAAAAAGTTGAAGTCCTATCATCCAAGCAACATGCAGCTCGGTAATTAGGATTTTGCTGTGGAACAATCCGGATTTGTCACGAATGTAGGAAGGGTTAGTTATCGCGTGGGACACCAATACGGCAAGGGAAAACAATGCCAGTGACAATGAATCAATCGCGGCAAGAGTAACAACACATGGCAGGTGAAGAGTAGGTTGATAGGTTGACTTGAATGATGCGCAACAGTGTACCAAGTCTTAAGCCAGTCATTACTCAAATCGGTCAGCAACTGACCGCTCTAGAAATGAATTCAACAATGTGCTGTATGGATAACTTCTAAGTGTCTTCTTTTAGGGGACCCCTAAAAATGAGCTGTGTTCTTTTTTGTGGCCCTTTCAAACCACCACGAGCCTCAAAAAAGACGAGCCACCCATGTTTGTAGCGGCATCACGAGTTCGAACCAAACTCGAGGGGACAGGTGGGTAGAAGTGCCCCGTGGGTGGACGAAATCCGCTTCCCACCACTTGGGACAGATGAACCCCGACAAGTATTGGGATGAGTCACCGAATTGCCAACTGGTGCAGGGTTGTGCCCATCCGCTGTATAAGAAAGCGATTCTCCTAACTTCCTTGGAATGTTGGACAATCAAAGTACACGTGGAGATCTTCGTAGGGGGGTTCTGCAGAAAAGCAATCACGTTGACCGTGATGAGCCAACCAAGCACGAACATGCTCCAACTCTAACAACAAACACAAATACCCAACGAAACAAAGGCTCAGGCTGCACCAATTCAAGAATCAAAATGCACTTTCATCCACCGCCCTGCGTGGTGGAAAATAATTAGAAGGATCCAAAAAAAGGGGAAGTCTGCTGCGCCTTTCATCCCAAAGGGGCACGTCAAACGGCCAGCCCTGGTTCACTACGCATCAAGCCGCTCAGCCGAGCCGGAAAAACCTGAGGGGCCCACCGGCTTGGGCGGCGGCGCCGACAGCAACTGGGAGGCAAGGCGTGGTCGCGTAGCTCACGGGAAGTGGCCGAGGGACATGGGGCTGGAGGTGACCCCAAAAGGGGACCCCAGGAAGCAAGGAAAACAAATCCGCCATTTTCCATTGGGAAAAGCAATACGAAGGGAAAGATACCTGGGTACCTTGCAAAGCCCAAGGGAGCGAAAAGGGAAGGGAAACTCGCCGGCAAAAGCATGATCCACTCACAAAACTGCTTTTGTGTGGTAAGTGGCCTTGCAAAATCCAGGGAAGGAACCCAAGGAAGTCAGCGTTCCCCAAAAAACTACGTGTTTTGAAGTTCTTGGGTTCCGTTGATCTGGGAACAGGTCCTACTTGATATCAAATGATACGTCCCACTGAAAACAGATTTTGCACCTTTGGAGTGCCCTGATCATGCTCTTCACCCCAACCCCACGATTTCTGACGCCAGAATCCTGTTCAAAACACTGCTTCCCCTCGGTTTTCTGCTTGTTTCGCATGTCGCAAGTGCTGAAAATCGGTTTCTGGGCAAGCAGGACTCGCTTCAACCAGGACAAAATCGGCTTTCTCTCTCTCTCTCTCTCTCCTTTTCCCTCTCTCTCCTTCTCCGTCGCTTTCTCCGTCTCTTTCTCTTTCTCCCTCTCTGTCTCTTTCTTTTTCTCCCTCTCTGTCTCTTTCTGCTTCTCTTTCTCTCTCTCTATCTCTCTCTCTGTCTCTGTCTCTGTCTCTGTCTTTGTCTCTTTCTCCTTCTCAATCGCTTTCTCTTTCTCTCTTTCACTCTCTCCCCCTTGGATGTTCATCCAAGTTAACAAATTGTTGGTAGCCTAGGGTATAGCCCACTCATAAGTCCAGCGGGGGGTATACCCCAAGTTGCTAACCCCTGACTTAGCTGAACATCTCCCGCCGACATAGAACCTGACGTTCGGGGCATCCTGGCTTGGAGCATGTTCCTCTTACGTCAGGTTCCATGTTGCTTGGAGGGTAGCGGTTTTCAACTCAGAGGAAAAATGCGAACCCCTATCCACCCACCCCGAACTTAGCAGAACATCCACATACTGAGCCTAGGTCCTCCAGTAGAGAGGTTAGAATAAGGGTACCCTTTTTCCCGTAGTCTGTTTTAGTAGGGGAACCAAAAAAAGACTACGGTAAAAGTTGGCACCTAGCCGGGGGACCTAGGAGCGCTTTCAACGTCAGAGGTGCCAAAAGGGACCTCGCGCGCCTCGATCTTCCGGAAGAGCATCTCCGCCAGCTGCTGCGGCGCCGGAGCTTCGCCGGCGAGCTCCTTCCCCAGCTGCCGCAGCCGTGCCAGGGGCGGCCACTCCGGGTCCTCAGCCGCGGAGCCGCCCTGGATGGCTCGCCTTTTCTGATAGAAGCCGCTTTTGGGCGGTGTTTATAGGGAATTCCAAACGGAAGACCGAAGCCATGTGTTGGCTCTATTTCAAAGACACACCCAACTTGGGTCACGTTGGGGGCGACATAATTAGAATGCGGAGTTGGGGGATGTTAAAGCCAGACTTGGGTCATGGTTGCGTTGGGCATGAGCAGCATCACGCCCTGAGGATGTGCAAATTTGGCGTGGCCTTTGGACCAGTTTCGCTCGGAAGCTTGAGCGAGCCACCAACACCGACCACCATGATCTGAAAACACAATCACTCCGCAACCTGAAATATGCATTGGATCCCCGTGGCTTTTACTCCCCACCAAATAGGCAAAAGGAGTCCAACAACTACCTGATTTACAAGGAATGGGATCTTCTAAATCAGCTTGTCATTTGGTTATAATTACGCAATCAGTAACCCTTGTTCGGGCCTTTTGAGCAACCCTGCCCCAGAAGACACCTCCCATTGGTTCACTCAATTCCCCGAAAACAAAATCTTTTTTTTTAATGTGGTTCTTTTGATGCTACCCTCCTTGATGTCGTTTCTTTTTTGGGAAACCAACCGGAAAAAAAAATATGTTGAGACATACCGTCACATCTTTCCCGGGCCCTAGGGCCCCAGGCCCCTACCTCCGGCTTCTCTGTGAGGGCGATGCATTCCTTGAGCACCTGCCGGCGCCCCTTCAGGTGAATCTAACCAAAAGAGTCGTGGTGAACGACACCAAAAAGGAAAATCCCCCAACTGGACACCTCGCGAGTTTGTGAACTCAGTTGCGCAGCTTGGACCCGAAAATAGAGGATGATCCACCCTTTGAGCGTCTAAAAGAGGGAACCCAAAAAGTGGAACTGAAAGTTGAGTTGAGGTTGACTCGTTGAGTGAGAAACATGCTTTCCCCAGCCCAAACATCCATAGTCTATATGTATCTTTTTGGCCTGTTGATGGACTTCCTTCCCTGGTTCATGGGGAATAACACCAATTTAAACCACTGGAACCCGTTCAAAAATAGATTCAGAAGCACACCAAAAGGCAACACAAAGTCCGAAACTGGGCTCGTGTTCCTGGAACCTGCCACTGAACGGGCCAGCCTCGGATGGCTTGATCACCGCCAGTCCAAACTCCTGAGGCCCGAAAAACATCTCGACCCGGACTGGACGGGACGTCGAAAAAAGGGAAAGCCAGGGGGAAAACCCGACTTCTTCTTCCCTTCACTGTTTGTTTTTTTGGTGGCGTTTAAAGGGAAGCTGGGGGAACCCGCCCATTTTCTTGGGAGAACTCGTTTGAGGGGTGGCGTTGAAAGGGACGCTTTAAGAGGAAAACCCCGGCATGTGGTGTGCCAATCCCACATCTTTAAGACACACCCAAATAAATAAGTTCCGCGCCGCAAGAGAATGCGTGGGTCGGAAAGGAAGCCCTTTGTCAACGTCCGCTTGGGGTCACCCACTTGGTGCAAGGCGCCGCAAGGAACCATGTCGCCTTGAAGAACCAGTTGGCCGCAAGCCTCCATGTACGGTCCCCGCAGGCTGAAAACGTGAAGTAGTAGTAGTTTTCACCCTCTGCTCCAAGAACCTTTAAAAATAAAGGGTGCAAGCGAAACCTGGCTTGAACTGGTTGCTAACCAAAAACTCGGCTTTTCCACCAAAAAAAAGTTTTCCCGCGAAGAACCTGTCTTTTTGGAGAAACTTGAAAAAAGGTTCTTGGAGTAGAGGGCATGTTTTGTTGCTCCCCTTTCATTTAAGGTTCAAATCCCACCCTAAAGTAGATGGCGTTTTTCCCGTTGTGTTTGTAAAGAGGCTCATGAAACCTGCAGGAGTAGGTAGTACAAAGTACTTTCATCTACCCTCCCACCAATTCACATGGAACCTGACAGGGGCGGCCTGGAAGACAATGTTACACGCTGGACACCATTGACAAAAGCACCCTGGGAACCTGTGAAGGACAATTTTGCTCTGAAGGACCCGAACGGGTTCCATAGATATGGCAAAAAATGCTAGAAATGAGGGTGTGTGTGTGTCTCAAAATAGGCGGGGAAACCTTTGCATACAAACGAGGGGGGAACAGTGCCATCAGAAGAATAACTAACCATAGCGGTCAAAATGACTTGTTGTTTCAAAGAGGACATGGGACAAATTGTGAGTATCCTGGTTGTGGAGAAATTAGAGCTCCTCCTCCCCAATGATCCATAGACTATCGGCAACTTTGACCGAACCTCATACATACCCGAATATGTCTATAAGTGGTTCACGTTCAAAACGGTATCAAAATTTGTCTACCTAAAACAAAAAAAACATGTGAGAATCTTCAAAGAGCAGAATCCTTTCCGGGACGGCATCTTTCCAAACTTCGGGTTTTCATTGTCTTGCTGGTTCTCAGAGAATGATGGAATGAGGCATCCCCAAAGGAAACCAAATCGGTGATGGGTTTTCTCGGGGGCATTCCGTTTCTCATATCGAGCCAGTGGCAACACGAGCCGAGGTCGCGCCACCCTTGGATCTCCTGGCTCACCTTCTCCGCCAAAGTGCTGGCAAAGGCGCCTATCGAACAGCGATCGACGTGTGTTCCGGTTGAACCGGCAGGGGTTTGAAAAGCGTCGGCAAAAAAGAAATGTCGAGATGTGTCTCTTTTTAGTGGACCCCCGCAAGTTGGTGGGTGTCCGTTTGTTGCTCCTTTCAAGCCACCAAGAAAAGGCACCCCTAGACAAGGACGCTCTCATTTGGTGACCCAGGCGTGACAGGTTAGTGTTCCCCCCAAGACGCACACAAACAAACACGCTAGATGGATCGATTCAACCAGCAAGTTACGCCACTTTGTGCGGAATACATGAAGAAAACGACAAATGCAAAACGCGTCAAAAGTAACGAAATGCCGACGCGGGATTAATACCCGCAAAGAAAAGAAAAACTCGGAGCGGTGATTTTGGAAGAAAGGAATCCCCATTTTGAAAGAGATGCCCTCTAAGTTGGGGGGGGTCTTTATCAGTCGGCATCCCACAATCCCCATGGAAAAGATTGGCACCCGTCTGTTGGTTTGATTTTGAAGACCAAACCCCTCCAAAAACCGGCACCACTAGGCGTCTGGAACCTTCATTTGCGGGCCTAACAAAATAGAATGTCGGGGGGGGGGGGGGGGTCGGGGTACTTGCAGACCAAATCTAGTCATTGTGGAAACTTTACGTCGATCACCTTTGGGGCGACTAAAGATGGACCAAGACAAAATCATGCACCAGCCGGCAGTTTTATCCCATGAGCTATAGGGTTTCGTCGATCCGAAGTGGTGCGTGGCTTGGATTTCGTGTTTACCCACAGGCAGGACAACCATTTACGGTCATTTGGGTATGGGTCAAAATTAAACCAACAGGCGACCGCAGGTATTAATCCATGTTTCCATTTGCCAGGGATCCATTTTGGGTACCTATTTTTGACCCACAGCCATTTCAGGAAGAAACGTCGCGGAGCTTTCGTGAGCAACGTCTGGGTCCTGAGTTTGCACAGCTCCCGGTGATCGCCAGCACCGGAAGGAAGTCCTTGGCCAGTTGTGCCTGCCAAGAAGCAGATCGCGGATCGCAGCCCCAGCGAGATCTTCACAACCCTTAGTATGGGCTGGCAAAAACTGAATGCTTAGTGCAGCCCCCAAACCTAAAAATGAACAGAAAAGAAGAAGAAGCAGAAGAAGAAGAAAAACACTTGCCAACAATAGTGAACAAATGACTGAACTTCCAATAATGCCTCATTTGTGAATCCCTAGCTAAGTACTGTGGATGGTTCAGGAGCCCGTTCGGAATGGGTCGATTCCGCTGCAAATACCAACAAACGATGGCGTGCCATGGTTTCAAACCCACAGTATTGCAAGTAAACTTAGGAATTTATTAGGAAGTTCTTGGTTCCCACCGTACTTCTGCGGATGTGCACACCTGCAAACTACGAGTTGTTTAATGTCAGAATTGGACCAAAACGCCTGAACCCTTTAAACGACTGAACTGGTCCTAACAAGTGACTCATGTCAACTCAGGAAGTGAGCTATGTCATTAGCACCCTGGCCACAACAAGAGTGGCTTGGATCAATGGGGGGCTTTATGGCGTATGCAAGTGTCAATCTAGAAAACAGCTTGGATGTGGCGAATCTGTGGATCCACCCCTGTAGGATATTAAAAAGAGTACTAAAAGAGACCAACAGGGGGAAAAAACATGCGAAATCCAAAAAAAGCGACACATCCAAGCCCGTTTCTAGAGTCAAAGGGGGCAATGTTCGGGGGAAACACAAAAAACATTGCCCGAGGCAACTGGTCGAAGGGAACCCCGACGGGACCCAAAAGTAATTTTGAGCCCTCAAAATTGCCACTTTCTTCGGGTCGCAAAGGAGTTGCAGGATAATTTGTTGGGACGCTTGACTTTGTCTGGGCGCGACCCCGAAAAAATGGTGGTCTTCCTTTGGTGGTAAATTTTGGGTTGCTCTTTTGGTTTCCCTTTAAGGGCGCGCAAAAAGGGGAACCTAGAAAAGACACACCCAGTTGTTTGACCAGGAATGCAATTTAGAGCTTCTCGTGGAAATGGTGGGCATGCAGGGTTTGAAAACTGGCTGACTAGCAGAGGGGTGTCCCATGTTAGGGGATCCTTCATGTTGGGAGAGAACAGCCATTTAAGCTGCAAGGTGTATGAATCCGGGGTGATTACACATAGTTGGGCTTTTGTGGCGGGGAAAGGCATCCTTCTATAGAGGTTGTCCACTGCAAATTTGCTGGCTGCAGGTAGACACCATGGTCTTATGGGATTCGGACTAAAATGGACTTCGGTGTTCTTTTGATTCCAAAAAAAAACACCAACCCAAAAGGCTATCCTACAATAAGACGAGCCATGATTTTGGCTTCCCAAACACGTACCCTCCTTCTTTGGGAAGCAAAAGCAACGAAGAAACCAAGAACAACAAGATCCAACTGGCTTAAACCGTCACCCTACAAGCCAGCGGCTAGCCACCTTTTCCACTGCCGGCCTCGATTCGACCGACGCCCGCTCCGGCCCACAAACTGTTGACCGCCCGCGAGGAACTAATGAGCTCCACAGAGCAAACAGGAAGAATGATTCCACGATACAAATCGAATCAATAGGATTTATGATACATGTGTTCATCTACATGTTTTGGAGAAAAACATGTGGTGGTTGATTCTGGAAAACAAGAACTGCTGATTGTTGAAGTAATGTTCATCATGGTCGTCATTGAATACCAACAGCACTAAGGATTTCTATTGAGGCAAACATGCGGGATCATATCGGCCAAAGTGGCCACTCGGATCCTTTTTTATCGTGATATGTCTGTTTTATTCAAACATAGCATAGAAACATAGGAATGGCATGCATACCTTGGTAGTGCTGTGTTCGTCCCCCATCTTCAGATCTGGGATCCCAGATCCTCGGCTTCCGCCAAAGTGTCCAACAGACGCGACATCCCCCCCCAAGCGCTGGATCGGGCTGTGGGACATGGCACACGTGGATGGAACGGGAAATCCCTTCGCACCACTTTGAGACCAGGGTCGGAACCATGGCGCTTTTTTTTTCTCTCTCTCTTTTTTTGCAGGGGAATCATATCAGAAACCGAGGGTTTCTTAGGTATCGAACGCAGGAGATTGTCCATCCACAGGTCAGAACCCCCCCCCCCCAGCAGCAGCTGCTGGATTTTAACTTGAAAACACGGTCGGTTTCAGAATGGAGGTCACAGAGTTTGGAGGTGGGTCGCGTTTCGAATCATCTTAAATAGGGGCTTCTTACTTTGGGGTTGGAATCATGTTATTGCTTTAAAGGAAGACCAAAGGACCCCCCCAGGTTTGTGTGTTTCCTCAAAGCTACGGACCCCTTAAAATTGCGAGAAATTCCTGTTGGAGTCCATTTGAAACCAACCAAGAAGGGTTCACGGTTTCCAAACACAGAACTCGATGTTGAGCCTTCCCACTTTCCAATCATGGAAGTTTTGCAAGATCATCCGACCAACCCCAAGCTGCGCTTTTTTTTTCCGCAATGGGACTTGGCTGTTGGCGGGGGTTAACAATGGGCCGCAAACATGAAGGACAAAACATGAACATGACCCAACAGTTGTCAAACATCGAAAAGCAAAGCAGAACAACATGAGCTCCCATACGCAAATTCGGCACATCGGGAAAACAATGAGTCCTCCTGCAAGCTGTGGCACTGGATCCTCGCTTCCACACGACTGCATTCTGCTGTAACTCGCCCACAGGCTCGGGGGTCTCGGCTGCATGCCGTCAATGCAACGCGATCGCAAAAGAGAACCTCCTTCTGTTGGATGGGTTCAAAGGAAAAATTTGAGGACACCCAAATAACACCAGAAAGAAACCGACACGATCCCTAAAGGAAACTACAACTCCACAAAAAAGAAAGCAGACACAAACTAGAAAAGACACCAACATGAAACGGACCTGGAGGAGACTGTCATTTTGGGTAACCATGCTGAAACGGTCGAGCTCAGATTGCGCTGGCAGAACCAATGGGGTAGTTTGGCATACCCGCAGAAGGTGGCTGAGAAACAGTCAGAGAGCGATTTGAGGCATATCGACATACTGATGGACGAGTCATCCATTTCGCACCTATGAAACCCATGGATTGGTGGTTGAATTTACGTTGGGAATTGAATTCTTCCGGTTCTGAACGGCGGCGCGAAATGGACTGCATCTATCCACAGTGGGGCCTATAGCTCTAAAAGACGGCAATTGAGTCATTGGACACTTTTCCCCAAACTCGGCAACCAGTTGCAGCGCTTTGTCCAAAGAACGGGAATCCGTGGATCAACCTTTACGGATGATTGGAGTGAGTATCTTAAAGGAACTTGTGAGATGCTTGGGCACTATATGCCACTAGACCGCATGAAACGCATCTGTGTCTCCAAAACCCAAATCCGCTTTCGCTATGAAAATCTCTTCAGAGGCCAGGCACAGACCCGCCCTATGGTACCCAAAAATCCAGGTGGACCGTGGAAAAAAAAAAGAAAAAGAAAAAAAATACCAAAACGGGGACCGACGGGAAACTCGGAAAGCAACTCGCAGCTGCAGCTGGTTTTGACTCATTCCAACTTCCATCCATCATCCCAGGGAAGCCCAAGGTGCCAATGGAGACACGCCCATTGGGACGATTTTCCTGAACCGGTTGATCAACTGGGCTGTCCCTTGGAGGCCAATGGCCGAGCCAAAGTGCCTGGTAAGTAACCCAAGGAAGGGAGGAGTTCTCAAATAGGAATCGGAAGCCCCAAAATGGTGAGTTCCCTGTTGGTGTCCCCATAAACCAACCAAAGAAAGGTACTGTACAATCCAGAAAGACACCCACACAAAGGGAACATGGCTGCATTTACAAGGGTCATGCAAGGGCTCAGACTTTCGGGGAAACTCCGCCCGTGTCTTCTTGGAGAAATGGATTGATTCCACTGGTGACAAAGTCGGAGCCAAACTGAAACCAGCTCGGGTTCCATCCATTTCAAACCAAAACTGCCCTCAATTACGGGTTGGAGCTTCACGGCCGGGCCATCGCTGGTCGCGCCTTATCGACTTTCAATTTGAGACCTACTGTGGATGGACAAAATCCTGCACCACTTTGAAGCCATGCGGAAACCGTTGTTTGTTGGTATTTACAGGGGAATCATTCTTCCAGGGTCTCTGAGGTGGTGCAGGATTTCGTCCATCCACAGTATGGCCCCCAAGCCCCAAAGAAATGAGTGGCAAAAAGTTCCCCCGAGCCTGCAGGAAAGGATGGCACACGTGGCGTCAAGGGCACGCCCTCAAGGTCTGATCGGCGCCCGGAAAAACCGCCACAAAGATTTCGGAGTCATCCTGCCAGATGTCTCAGTTGCTTCGGTGTGTCAAAGGGAACCCCCAAAGTAGGTTTCCCTTTGCCACCCACGGCAAACCACCCAAGAAAGGCTAACCTGCAAACTTCGCCGAGCCGTTTGTCCCGAACACCAAAAACTATCAGCAAGTGGCAAAACGTCAAAGCTAAGCCGTTGGCACAAATCCAAAAACTGCGAAGCCCATGTTGTCACTCCTTGATGGTAAAATCGTTCCACGCATGCTTTGGTGTCCCCTCAAAACTGATGGAACTAGTAAATAAAGAAAGAAACTGGAACCAGTGAACCAGTGACATGGGGGGGGATCAAAAGACCATTGGGGAAAACCACTAAAACAATATTTCCCCGCTACATGGGGAAAGTTACTCATGGTTACTTTAATGTTGATCAACCCCCACATGCATCTGCTGGGAAAATGCAAACAATTCACAAAAAGAAAATAACTCTCACAAGAATTCCGTGAGTGAGCTTGGATTACCCCCAGGCGTCGTTGGAAATTCTGGTACCAAAGCAAAGCCTCAGATAGGACAGTTCCTGTCTCGCGACTGTGATTGGCGGTGACACGTCAGATTTTGCTAATAGATTCATATGGTCTCAAAATGGGGGAGGCTGGTCTCCTCTTCTTCCATTTAGCCAACCAGGGCATCGCTTCAAAAAGACCCCCGCCCACACCTTGAAGTGTAGAAAGAGATCCTAAGGTTGGTGAATTGTTTTCGTTAGTTACATTCACGCCAGCCCCCCTTCAACTGGTCGAAGATCTCATTCCGAGCGCCGAAGAGTGACGACTCTTTGGGGAAATAGCGCCCTGAAAATGTGGGGTCCTCCTTATGTTTCCCCTTTAAAGCCCACCCAATGGTCTACCCACAAAGCACTAAAATGGTCTTTCCAAAAGTGACCTAAGTCCAAGTACGCCAGAGAGTGAGACTCGAGTGGTCCATACAATCCAGTACTTCCTGGATCCCTTAAAGCAACATCCTCAAGATGATCCTCCAAGTGCTTTGGGAAACCACTCCCAAAACGAACATTCTAGGAGCCCCTCAAACTGCAACCACTTGAAGGGACCCAAATGAACGAAACCCAACCAGGCGAAAAAGAAAAACATGAGTGCGGCAATGACAAGCCAGTACGAACTGAATTCTGCCCTCGCCTCGCACGCTAAACCAGTGCTCCTTGCGCCCGGTGGGTCGACATCTGACTGGATCGGGGCACGAGGCTTTGCGCGCTACGAGGCTTTGCTTTGCAAGCCACGCGCTACTTCTCGACGGGGAAGCAATTATAAGTTGTCCAGGTACTTCGCGGGGGCCGAGGCACAATCGCGAGGGAACCACCAGGTTGCGAAATCTTGTACTCTGTCCAAACTGTTCCCCTTAAAGTTTTCGACTTGTGGGTGAAATGGAAACCTAAGCAATAAACCAACTAAAAACCAAAACAAAAAACAAAAAAGCCTAAGGAACCGAACGATTCGCTGGTTGAACCACCGCTTCGGCGGCTTTCACAGCTCGCCGCGCACCTGTGATGTTCGAATCGATTTCGCTCGAGCGGGTTGTCACAGCCGAGCCGGGGGCACGGTTCCTTCAAGTCGGCAGTTGCCGGTTCGAGTTTGCGAAACAACATGGGCTTGATCTATGACCCTGTGGACAACATCCCACAAAACGCACACGGATGAAACACCGGAATAAAGAACCTGTCAATTGGTCCAACAGTTGGTCAATCCACAGAATGAAGAAAGTGTCAAACCTTCGGAAGGTGTCCACAAAAAGTCCATAACTTTCAACGCCCCCTTTGCTGTTGTGGCCGTTCACCGGTCTCGTGCGCCCGCGGCAAGTAATAAGGTTGCCTTGCAGCGTTGTGCGGCAAAGCTAAGCTCAGTCCCACCTTCTCGGGCACAAGTGCTCGGAAGATTTGCAAGGGTGGCAGGATTCGGCCAAGCATCTGAACATGTCGGAGCCACTCTTTTTGCTACACGCCCTGATGCGCACGTCCACTTCAAAAGGTCCGTGTGAATCTTTGCCTGTCCCTTCAAAACATAAGGAGCGCTGAAAGATCGAAATTGACTCCTAATCTGTAAAGTGTGCGAAAATCTCAAAACCTGAAAAAAGAACAGAATCCCCAAGGAAGGGAAACAAAATCATGTAAATAATTGAAAGGGCAACAGCAAAAATGACTTCCCGCTCCCCCTGAATTTCTCAAAGCAAACCTCACCGCATGCGATAGGAGCCTTGACCCAATGCTGACCTCCAAGGTGCTGTCCATTGAAGGAAAACCACGAGTTACGCCATAACAAACAAGCGAGCCGGCAAACAAACAAACAAACAAACAAACAAACAAACAAAGAGACAAAGCAACAAAGAAGCAAGCAGGCAAGCAAGCCAGCAAACAAGCAAGCAAGCAAGCAAGCAAAGAAAGCAAGCAAGCAAGAAAAGAAAGCAACAAATGCAAAGAACCCAAGGGTGGTGGGATCACTTGCGACCAGAGGATTGGGGTCACTTGCGACCATGGGTCACTTGCGACCAAGTGGGTCACTTGCGACCATAAATTAGGGTCGCTTGCGACCAACAAGGCCCGTTTGAGTCACTTACGACCAGAAAATTAGGGTCACTTGCGGCCAATGGGGTCGCTTGCGACCATACTTTAGGGTCACTTCCGACCATACAGTAGGGTCACTTGCGACCAGGCGGCATTGTCTTTTTTGCAAGTACTGCGCCTGCCACAAAATCTCTCAAAGTGCTGCACCTGCCACGCCGGCACCTTTCCAGTTGACAGCTCTCCTGCCACAAAATCCAGCCTCCAGACTCTTAGGGTTTAGGGGTTTCAGGGTTGAGTGGTTTTAGGGTTTGGTTTGGAGTATAGGGTTTAGGGGTTTAGGGTTTTGTGGTTTTAGCGTTTAGGGATAAAGTAGGGGTTTCAGGGTTTAGGGGTTTTAAGATTTAGTCGTTTAGGGGTCTGTAGGGTTTAGGGATTTAGGGTTTAAGGAATTCAGGGTTTAGGGATTTTAGGGTATAGGGGTTTTAGGGTGTAGTGGTTTTAGGTTTTAGGGATTTTAGAGTGAAGTGGTTTTAGGTTTCGGGATTGTGGGGTTTAGTGTTTTTTGGTGTGTGGATTCTACGGGTTTAGGGATTTTAGTATTTAGGGGTTTTGGGGTTTAGGGATTTTAGGGTTGTATGGTTTCGGGGTTGCAGGGTTTAGGATTTTTGGGTATAGGGGTTTTAGGGTTTAAGGGATTTTAGGGTTTAGGGATTTTAGGGCTTAGGGGTTTCAGGGTCTACGGTTTTGTGGTTTTAGGGTTTAGGACTTTACCACTGAAAATGACCAGGGAGTCCCCATCAGAGGTCCCTTTAAAGCAGAGATCACGCCTGCCATGAGGGAAGCGCAAGATCCCCCAAGCCCTTTTTTGACGGTCACAAGCGACTCCAATTTGACGGTCACAAGGGACCACCCGACCGAAAGCAAGCAAGCAAGCAAGCAAGCAAGGAAAGAAAGCAGGCAGGCAAGCAAGCAAGCAAGCAAGGAAAGAAAGCAGGCAGGCAAGCAAGCAAGCAAGCAAGCAAGCAAGCAAGCAAGCAAGCAAGCAAGCAAGCAAGCAAGCAAGCAAGAAAGAAAGGAAGAAGGGAAGAAAGAGACAGACTCACAAACAGACAAACGTTCAATCAAGCAAACAAAAAGCCCCAACCGTGAAAGCGAGCTTTTTGCCAAGAAGCAACTGTGGTGCATGGTCCATTGAGTCAAGCCCTAAGGTCTGAGGTCCAAAGAACGCAAGGAGGCTGGAAGGTCGAACCATCTAAATTGGGCAGAAAAAATTGCCGCTGCTCGCAGGGAACGGCGCCTTGGAATAAAAACATGCCGGCAAGCCAAGGGTACCTCAAAGAAAGTAGGCCAAAGAAAGGGCCCCGAGACCGCCTCCCTCTAGCCCATGGAAAGGCAAGGAGCGAGCGCGGTGGAAAAGAGGTCCGGAAAACAAACGAAGAAAACGTCAATTCAAAGGACTTGCCAATTCAAGGACTTGCCTCTTGCAGCTTGCTTCCCACCTCACATGGAACAGCCCAATTAAGACGAACTGCCCCCTTCTCCACCTGTATCCAAGTTCCAGATCTCAGGCTCGGCGCGAGCCTGAAGACTCACTCTCGCTCATGATTCACCTCAGCTCTGCAGTTCTTCATGGGAGCTCAAGGAACCCTCAGCGGACTTGGCCAACGGGGGAAGCCACCAGAAAATTCAAAACGGCAACAGGGGTGGAATCGACCAAGAAGAAATCGCTTGCCAATCGCGTGACAAAGGAGCTTCCATCCCCGGGCTGTCCCCCGCTAAAAGCTTCTCAACTTGTGGCTTAACCTCATCAAGTACCACAACTAAAAAGATCAAAATCTCCAGGTTGACCGGATGGCTGGCTGGGTTCCCACCAAGTCCAAAAGGAAGGCTCTCCCAAAATTTTCCATCTTGCCTTCAGCTCCCCAGGCTCGTGCTGCCGGGCCCGCCCTCGACTGAACAGCGGTTTTTGGGGGACGGGTGCTGTCCCAAACGTTGGTCTAGAAAGGAAGCTGTCCCTCAAGACTCGTCGCCGTGGCCCAACTCAAGGAGAACGGATCCTAAGCGATCAGCCCCGGCTTCTTTCTAGTGACTCCAATCGGAACCGAGGTCAAAGCCCTGTGAGGTCACTTGCGCTCGGAACCATAGATGCCACAGATGCAAGGTGATTGCCTTTTGGTTGGCTAATCATTTAAACTGCGAAAGATCGGAGAACCAACATATCATGCTGGTGCTTCAGGGAATAGAGGAATACCCCCTTTAAACGATCCCTTGCGGTTTCCTTTAAGAAATCCCCAAACGGCGCCTTCCCACAACCCGGACTCGATCATTCCCTGCTGAGCACCAGCACGTCATTTCGACCGAAAGAGTCTTGCAGCGCACTTTTTAAGGGCGGCTTGGCTTGGAGGTTCGGGGTGATACTGTGGATGGACGAAATCCTGCATCACCTAAGAAACCCTGGAATGATGATGATTATCTTGTAAATACCAAACCATGGTTTCCGCACGGCTTCAAAGTGGTGCGAACGGATTTTGTCCATCCACAGTAGCCTCAAGACCCAGGGCTTCAAATGGGCACGCCTCTTTTCGCATTTGGACGCTTTCCTTTTCGTCTCCCTTTAAAACCACCAGAAAAGACACGCCCAACTCATCTGCCCCGAATCCAAACCAATTTCAGCGTGCGTCGCGGGATCGGACGCCGACCAGCTCATGGGGTTGCGCCGTTTTCTAGATTCCACGAAACCAAAAGGTCCGGTAAACATGGGCCCTCGGCGGCGAAATCTGCGAAGCCCTGCTAAAAGTGTTTCACTGTTAGTGGCTTAATACGGAAAAGACCACTAGTTGGCAAAGTTAAAATCCTGACATCCAAGCAAAATGCACCAAAGGGATAGTGGGGCAACACCAAAAAGATGGCTTTCGCCACGAAATCGGAAAAGGAAGCCATGGCCATTTTGGGACCAGCAATATGGATCGAATCAACCCCCATGTGGTTGGTTCCCCGTTTCATTTCCCTTTAAAACCACCAAGAAGAGATACTTACCCTCAAAACAACGCACACCCACAAGTGCACTAACCGCCCCAGATTCAAGACTTCCAACCTCCTGACACCAACGGGATACGGGGCGAAAGTGGTTGGCCAAATCCCGGACAGGGGACTTGCAAAGATGACAAAACTTGCTGGTTCTTGGCAGGGAATGAGAGAATGACCCCTATAATTGGCGTGGTTACCTCACAGATCCTTTAAGGAACTTCATTCCCAATATCCGCACTCAGGCTGAAACGGTGCCCCGTCGGGTTACTACCCCGTTTCGGGCTAGAAAGGCCTTTCTGTATGGTGGATTCCTGTATCTTGCAAGCAAACCAACCACACTCAACCAAAGAATGGCAATGTTCGGGCATTCGCCCAACGACTCGAGCGCACGAAGCCGCACAGCTTTTGCCTGGTCGGCACAGCGAACTGTTCTAATGTCTATGCGTTTGGCATTGGCCGCTCGGCCGCCGCGGACCGCTAGAAGGCTAGGCCAAAACAAACCCCAGCAAACAGGGGCCGCCAGATTTCCACTTGAGGTGCAGCTTCCTAATGGGTTCCACTGCTGCCAATCTTGGAGGGCCAAAAAAGGGAAAAGGAGAAGCCCCTTTTGTGAAGGGCTGCAAAACCTGGGGGCTTGCCACAAGTGGCCCTCTTGGGATAAATATACGCAAAACATGGCTTCAATTTGAGTGGTGTTTTTCAAAGATACCTAGCAGTGCGAACGCAGGGTTCCCTTGACTCTGGATTCTCATCGGCCTTTCCCTCCGGAAACATCTGTAAAGGGAGGCAAAACTTCACCCAGATTGCCCCATCTATGAACCCTGGGGCTGGGTGGTGACCCTTTCTCAGGTGGCTTCCATCGGGAGGGTTCTAACGACCTGAGTCTGAGCTCTCGATGATTCCTTCGCAACTGAGGTGAACTACGCCCATGACCTTCCAAAAAACCAAACTCTTGCAACAATGGCAAAGAGGAAGAATCACCAGACAATTCCAGCCAGTCCGTTCACTCGCGTCGCCAGTGGCGAGTCGCGAGTGACGCGTCGTGACGCGTCGTGACACGTCACGCGGCGGCCCTCGACGTGGGAAGTGCCGCCCTTGAGGCAACGGCAACAGCCCATCCACGATGTGTGGAGGTTCCCAAGAAAAGCCAAGCCCGTCGAATTAGGCGTGCACAGGTTGGAAGACCACAAAACTGGAAAAGGTCATCAACACAGGGCCCTTAAGGATCTTAAAAAGCAACCCGAGGAACACAATATCCAGCTGGCCAATAGACGGACCATTCGCCTCCGGCCGAAAGCCCGCACGCCCCGCCTCCCAAAGAACGGCTCTCGACGCCGGCACAATCAAAACCTCGCTTCCCTCTGTGGATGGACGAAAACCGTTCGCACCACTTTGAAACTATGGGAAGTTGTTTGCGTTTTTTTTTCTCCCATGATATATAGATGATTCCAGGGTTGCTGAAAAGTGGTGCAAGATGAATATCACAACCATCCACAGTATGTCGTTGCAGATGCTGCCCAGCCTGGTCTCCCCGATCCCCCAATTGAAGTGGGTTGATTGTGGCCTTGCATACAAAGGCAACTCACGGAGAGCCGAGGCTCGAGAAGTCAGCCAAATTTCAGAGGTTATAGCCATGGTACTGTTCATGGTTGCGAGTCATCCATTTCGCACCACGAAATGAAACCATGGTTGAAATGATGGTTTGTTAAAGTATTTGCAGCACCATCATCATTTCAGACTTTTTAAAAGTGGCGTGAAATGGATTCTGTCCATCCGCTGTAGGATTTACCCCAGTGATCTCACCATGGTTATAACCTGCTGACTTGTGGCTTGTGATAGGAGCGCACTGAACTAAGACCCGCCCAGCCTAGCTGAACGGTGGACTCGAAAAACTTGAAGCGTTGGCGCTGCAACACACACAGGTGCCAAACAAACTTCGCTCTGAAACAAAGATCAGAATCCCCAAACAGCTGCCGCGGCCAATCAGAATCTCTCTAGACGTTCTTCCGGCCCCGTGCCAACTGACTAGCTGGCTGCGGGTCGGGCGAGACACCGCTGGCCGCTCTGGCAGCTTCTTTCCTCAAAACTGACTGGTTGATCCGTTGAACTATCAAAATGACCTGCATAGAAAAGGGCGCAACCACCCCATGTAATTCTGAAATTCGCGTTTCGCGTTGGCCAAAGCAATGTCAGAGCACTGTGTGTGCGCCAAGGCGTCCCCAGGGTTCAACCCTGGGGAAGGATATTTCACAGAATGCACAGGTGGCCCCAAAAAAGGACAACGGCTGGCTGCCCCCTCTCCTTCCACACAAGTGAAGCGCAGTAAGCGGCCGCCGTCGTTCACAGCTTTGGGCGCCATATATAGAAACTCTGCAAAAAGAGGGCACAAGAGTTGGGCGAGCTGTCTGACAAACTCACTTCCTAAGTTGTGTCTCGCTCAGAAAAGTCCAGACTTCTTGTGAACTTCCAATTGCCTGAAACAAAAGAAACAAGTGCTAGATTCCCTTTAAGACAAAGGGGGTAAAATCTAAACCACTTCTGCAATGATTCCAAACCCTGAAACAAGGGATCTGGCAAAGGCCTGAAATTGGTGTGCTTGAATTACCAATCGAAAATCGGGCTGAAATGATCCTCCCGAACAGTTTTTGAGGCTCACTGGGGGAACTGAGCAAACCTTCTCCTACTTGCTTCACCTTTTGGGGCCCGTTTTTTTACTCAAATCGACCGATTTGATGCCAATCTTTCGAGTCCCGGTCGATGAAAAAGCTGCACCCAATGAGCCCAAGAAAAATCCTTGGGGTCCTTAACACCGGGAAAAAAAATGGAGAAAAAAAAACAAGAAAAGCAGCCCATCACTGTCCCATTCTATGAGTCCTGAAATGCAGGTCCTGATCTGGAAGCTAAGAAGCCGATGGAATTCCAATTAAATCTGAAAGGAACAATGCACTTGAGCAACTAAATCCGAAGCAACATGGCCTTCGGGTGTTTTCCCTACCCAAATCGGTTGGCTCCCAGCGCCTACAGACAAGGCACACAAATCATACTGATCCTGCTGTGCATGGACGAAATCCTGAACCTCTTTAAAACCATGGTTGAAACCATTGCTTGTCGGTATTTGCAGGGGATTCGAATCATGCCAGGGTTGCTTAGTGCAGGAGTTTCCAGCTCGATTGTTTCTTGCTGACTTTCTGGATGCCTTGTTTACGGTCGTATCTTGCCGGTCCTCCTTTGTTCTTCACCGTGGAGTCTTTGACCAAACTGCTTGTGCTTGGATGCTGTGGATGGCTGTGAAATCCATTTCGCACCACCGTTCAAAAACCCTGGTTTATATTCGATTCCCCTCAAAATAGGTTCAACAATGGTTTATTGGGGGGTGCTAAATGGATTTTCGTTCACCCATAGTATCATTCGGGAATGCCTCTACTGAAATAGTTGGAATGGGGTAGTAGTGTTAAACCAAATTCCGCACCACGAAGTGCGCGTGTAACTAGTTTGCCCTCCATCACCCGAGACATTTGGGCTCAAGAAGCAAATCCTCCATCCTCATCGTCCAACTCCTGCGAGAGTCGAAGCTGGCCAAGCT